ATAAGAAAATTCTCATGCAGTTCAAATGAGGCAGAGCAAAACCCCTACAGTACTTTTGTTCTGCATAGAACATTTCTCCTTAGGTTTCAAGGCAGGAAACTACATGTGTGTGATGCAAGTAAACAGGCTTTTCATGAACAGGTCATGACTGTGCATGTAACCCCATCTGTATCCTGTGCTGAGTAGCTACCTCCTCCTTCCAGGGGGCTAATGCAGCTCCTACTGAAGGCTTTGAGCTCACCTAGGTACACATATGCCTCATCTACTGAGCACAGAAAGATGCTTGTAGCTGGGATGCAGAAATTCTGTTTGGAATTACACCCTCCAAACCCTTATCTTGGAGTCTAGTCTGAAAGGACTTCTCCTTTTATAAACACAAGTGAAAAGAACATAACTTTCTCAATAGCACAGACATCTTTGTGCTCTATAGAGCTGGCTTAATCCCAGAAGCATCAAATTGGAAATTAAGACAAGGAAAGCAGAATTTTGAAACTATTTTCCAACATTTTAATGGATTTCTAGTTATTTTTTATGTAGTAAACATTTGATCATTTTCCATTTTTAAAGCTTCTGCTGCCGAAATCCACAGTACACATTGACCCATCAGAACACCTGTGCCTCAAGCACAGCTGAGAACTTTTCACTGAAACCCAAGCATTCAAGTTGGGATGGGTGCTTGATGTATGCCAATAGCTTGGGCTGAGCTTAAGTATGAGCAGAGCCTCCACAAAGGAATTCCCCTTGCCCTTCAAAGGTAAGTTTCTCTGTTGTTGTTTCATGTTATTCACAAATGAATTTCTGTCTTTCAGGTTTAGGCAGTTGCACTGTATGATTCAGACAAATCATGTGCCCCTGTGACATAGCAACAGGTGACCTTATAGCTGGTCTGAGCTTATTGGGACAACAACAATGCCTCAGAAATACTGAGTGCCCCACAAGGTACTAGGGCATTACTGATGAAAGGGAGGAGTTTAAGAGGGTTGAATTTTGCACTGGTACTAGGGTGAGTACTCAATAATAGGTCTTTAAAGTATTTTAAATTCTAAACCTAGCTATGGAAGCAAATTTCTGTGCTGCCAGAAAATTGCCCTTCACAGGGGGTTAATGTGTATGCACGAAGGCTACAGAAAAGAACACCTGGAGAAAAATAAATGGAAGGAGTAAAATAGAGAAAGCTGAAAATAACAGTAGCTAAAAGCATTGTGTATACACTCTTGTGTGTAAAGCCACCTCTGGGCTTGGCTTTGAACTTTAACTTCCTTTCACTCTAAAATGCTCTATGTTGAGCTTTATACTCCCCCTTAAGCTCTCTTATGAAGATCAGGGACACATCAGCAAGCCTGGGCTCTGCTGTACAGTTTGAAAAGCTTGTGTAATGCTCCTGAGCACCTTTTGGCTAATATCAGAGCTTGTCCTTCAGTTATTAAGAAGGGTAGCTCTGTAGTACAACTAAGCTCTCAGCTGGACATTGCTGCTGGCAGTCTTTATTCCACCTCTGATGCCCCTTTCTGTTGGGCAGTGTCAGTAGGCTTACTAGAAGGAAGATTGGCCTGGTTCAGTATACACAAGGCTGAGGTGGTCTAAAACAGAGAGGAAGAAATGGAGCTGTGTTGTTGAAACTGTTGTGAAATGTAGCGCAGCTGAAGCCATACCAAACGTTACTGGGTGTGTATCATGTTTAATGAAGAAGATGAAAGAGTTCCTCCTTCTGACAACCTCTTGTAACTACCAGCTCTTCTGCTAGAAATAAATTGCTGCTGAAACACACAGTGGGGCAGAAGCAGAGAGAGATGAATGCTAAAAGGGATAGCCTCTTGGTCTAATAAGAGAAGAGTTGCATGGGGATGGAGCAGAGAATAGCAACCTAAGCCTGTGCCACCCTATGTGGTAATCTGCCTGTGAACATCTTTTTTTTAACAGGTTGTAAAGGCTAGGGAGAGAGCTCACTGTGGGCAGTTACCCTCAGCCAGCTTTGTCTTCCTTTAGGGCAGGAAGGTAGAAAAACGGAATCTCCCTTGGTGTGAGACAGAGGAGCAGGGAATGATAAGCATTTGAAAATTAGCATGAATTCTTTCAAAAAAATTACATTTCCTGTTTTCTGTCAAAGGTACTGCAGGTGTTTGGACGTGTTACATTGGATCTTTTTCCGTCAGCGAGCAACTAGTAGTGTTTGTGACAGTAACCGCATTTTAGCTTCAACTCTGCATTCTCCTATTGTACCACTAGGTGGGAGTGTTGGAGCTTTTTTCGCTGCTGGTGCTGCCGTAATGAGCGCAAAAGCTGCTGTCTTGTGACCTGTTGTATTCACAGTCACCCAAGCAATCTCCAGCTGAACTGTGATGACTACGCAGTGCGCAAATGAGAAATCGCTAAGTGACTGCCCACTCCATGACACAGTACCCGTCTTCAGAGAAGAGTGCTCTAGGGGAATGCAAAACTCTGGCTTCTACTTCTCTTCTATGAGTTGCATGTACTGGGGAGCAGGGGTCCCTGGTTCACAGCTTTGTGTGCCTTTTGCAGACATAAAGAGCCCAGAGTTGGCATTTGACGGGAAAATGTCACTGGGAGATGGCAGGGGATTTCAGAAACTAATTTCTGAAGAGTGATGCGAAGAAGGGAGCCTGTTCTGCTTGAATGGAAAAGATGGGCAATACCACACGCTTAACAGAAGAGAAGAAAGGTAGGGAGTAAAGGTCTGGGGAGAGCTGTTGCAGCAGCAGGGCAGAGCAGGACCATCAGGGAGCAGTTACTCACCCTCACTCTGAGCTCACTTCACACAGGTACATTCAGTTATTGAGAGAGAAGATAAGGGCAGATAATTTTATAGGACAAAGTTTGTCTCCCTGCTATCTTTTTACTTTGTTTTCTCTCTGTCTTGCCCGCATTGCAGGCATTTCTGGAGGAGTTTTTTATCCTCCTACCATCTCCTCTCCAACTCTACCCACCTGATTTTCACTCCATTTTTCCTGTTCAGTTTATGTTCATTTGCTATGTCTTAACTAAGCATTCTTCTGGGAATCTTCAAATCGATTACCAATTTCACTGAGTTTTGTCTTTGTGCAGTAAATAACTACTAAACAAATAGTTATTTCTGTCTCTGGTATCTGCATCCACCAGCTGCTAAACATCTACCAATAGTACCTACAAACATTATCCGTTCCTGACTACAACTTGGCTGAAATAGATTGAATAGGGTTTATCAATTTATAAACTTTTTTATATGTAAATTTTTTGCTTTTTTTTTTTTATAGATTTTAAAGTTTATAAAGTTATAATGTCCTCAAAGGTAAATAAGTTCTGGAATTTGGGTGAATGTTCAATCTGACTAGCTGTAGGGATATGCTGGCATACTGACATGTCAGACAAGCCAGAGGTAAATGAGCCATAAAAAATCACTGCAGACTTTCAGTCATGTTAAGATGTAGGTAAAAGGAATATTGATCCCAACCTTAGCAAAGGTTGGGAGATTTTTAAAGAAAATTGGAGGGATTTGAAGGGAAATTGGAAGGACTTTCTGCTTCTTGCTTAAACTCTGGAGCTAAGTGAGAGAATTCAGAATCAAGCCTGTTTTACAAATACATTAAGTGTAGGACAATGAAATTATATATAACACATGACAGTGGTACATTGAACAGTTGCATTTCATACAGTTGTTAGGCAAGCAAGGATCCAAATTTTGTCCTGTGGCACGTAGGTACACTAATAAAAAAGAAGTATAGCATAATGTGCCCAAAGATGGTGCCCCTTTTGGATCCTCAAGTCCTAGGAAGGAATGGCCTTCACATGGATGCACAAGCTGCCAAAAATACCACTACAATTAAATACCAGTAATCACAAATTTATTGCATAATTTAAGATAATTGTGCAACTAAAAGAGGTAAATGTAAGAATTAGCCTCCAAGCAGAAATATATTTAAATATTGAAATGAAATTCCTTTACACAAGAAAGAAACTACTATTTATAACATGAAGGCAAGTTGCTATCGTGAGGCTAAGAACAGCAAGGAATAACTAACACGTTTTACTTCATTTTCAAATATTGGGTGTTAAATTGGGAAAATTTGTATGTGGTCAGATGAGTTACAGTTAGGCCTCCCTTTTTTGTGCCAAATGAGTGTGCTGCCTGCCATGTAAAGGGAGGTGAATGAGCACTATCATGCCCAGAAACAGGATCCTTCCTCTCTACTTGTGCTTTCAGGCACTGTTAATGTGTGTATTACAATGCCTTTTTCTGATCCTGCAGGAGAGAAGGCTTTTGCAGATCTTGTTAAGGCATTGCTCAGTGGAGGCAGGATCTAGTGGCATGTTGGTTTCTTCTATGAGAATGTTCCAAATGACATCTAATATTTAACCATAATTGAGACATTTAGAAGCAAGTATGTTTAGACTAACTGGTGTTTTAGAGCAGGCACTTCTCCCATTTTCTATCAGTGTATCACTTTTAACTACAGGTAGTTTAAAAATTAGCATCAGATTTTTCTGTTTAATTGGGCTTTTTTTAACCCATGGGTAAAAAAGCAATTTTTGCAGGAGCTCACATAATCCCAAGGTCCCTCTTAAACACTGGAACCAAAAGGATCCTTACATCTCATACTGGCACATGTTGCCATGCAGCAATCTTTTGTAAACTTTCAATAAATTCACTGAAGTGTGGAGTTCAAGCAAATGCTAGCCTACCATGTAGATAAAAAGTACAGAAATAGGAGGTGAATTCTAGGAACCAGAACATCAGGCTAAAAAAATATACCAAAATATGATACAATGTAGGTCAAAACTCAGTATATGTTCTTGTACGTAAAGAGAGCACTCGCTAAAAATTACATTTTTAGCATCTGAATAGAAAATAAATTAATAGAGAGAACTTCTGCTGCAAGAAAGAATGAGTACAATGCAGAGGATGGATATTTTTAACTCTCCAGTGTCAAAGTGGGAGGGGTTGCTCTCAAGCAAAACTGCATTCTAATAACCCAAAGCGTGGTCATGGTCATTTGTAAATGTAATTATGGGATCAGAAATTCACAAATATATCTTTTGGCAGTACGGCAGACTTCGTCCACCCACTTGCCTTGTGATGACTGGGAAAAAAAGACACAGTTTTCACGCTTCCCCCCATTTGGTTGGGCACGATCCCAGTTGGAGTACTGTAGAACCATGCCATTGACATCAACAAATTTCCCTTCATTTATCAAGTCATTGATACCCAACCAAAACTCAGACACTCTAGGCATACTTTTCTTGCCATAATCTCGAAGAGTGTTTGTTTCATCATTATTCCGTGGGATAGCCAGTGTCCCTCCCTTGGCTATGCAGTCTTCATTGGCTTCATGAAAATACTTGGTGCTTTCTGACACAAGGTAGCACTTCTTATGGGCCTTTGTCCCACGAAGACAGACTGTGAATAGATATTGGTTTGCATGTTCAGTAAAAGCTTGGGCTATAGCTTTGAATAACGTTTCTTATAAGCCATAATTTTCATAAAGGTGTGTTGAGAATTAAGCAGACAAGTAGCTCAGCAAGTGAAAGGCTCTTGCCACCACAGAGTGGTCCAAGAAGTGGTAGCAAGATTGGACTTACCTGCTCTTCCTTTTGTTTATGTAAGACCTTGTATGCAGCCAGCATGTTAGCATGCTGTCGGGACGTCTGAACAGACTGCTCACAGGTGATCTGCTAAGTACCTTGGACTACAAGTGGTGTCCGAAAGCTGCTCCAGAGAAGAAGCACTTAAGAGGAAGGACAGACATAGCTGCCATCTTAACACCATAATGTGCTTTGGAGAATCTTTTCCATATTTATTCTGGAAAACCATGATCTTGAGCCCCAGAATTCTCTCCAACAATGTAAGTCTCTCAAGGATTTTCTATATTGCTGTTTCAGAACACTAAAATATAACCCAGGCCTTTTGTAGGTGTGTTTTACGTCTTTTTTTTATCAAATAGTCCTGCTTTCACACATTTTCACCTTAATCCCTCAGTCTTAAAACTGATGGAATGGATGAGGCATGGCTGTTTGCATTGTTGCCAGGTACAAATTGGTCATCATGAAATCTATACTTGACTTAATAGTAAAGCGACAGATCTAATGGTCTTTTTATATTTACATTTAGGTGCCAAAGAAAAATAAAGTTTTGTGCATTAACGAAGCTTAGATCCTAGCAAACACAGGCAGGACACAAAAATGTGTCTTGCTCACCAGAAATAATAAATTTTGATTTAAAATTTATAATGTAAATCTCTGGGTGATTGATAAACATGTATTTCCACCTGTAGAAGAGTACACATTCACATCTTTAGTTCTTAAAGTCTGGTCTTTCCAGCAAAGTCTGTCCCTTCAAACACAAAATGAGGTAAAGTGACTTAAATTTATAAACACTTTTGAAAAATGTACACTTATTACTGAGCTTGCGTGACAATCTGAACTTAATAATCTAAACATCTGCATTTATAAATCTGTTTGCTTTTAGTTCTACTGGAACATATCAGGGAAGTCTTTATGTAAAGTCCAAATATACTAGAACATTAATTTGGCATACACCCTGTAACTGGAATTGCCTTGCAGAACTGTTGTCAAAGTTGTTCCAGCCCAGGGTCTGTGTGAGCAGGCTTGCAGGAGCGAGTCCTTAAACTTTGCTTTCCTGCTATCCTAATACACAATGTGAAAAACTGATTTTACAAAATAAAACAGGAGAAGAGATTTTCCTTGAAGGAGTGTTCCTTCTGAGCTGAGAAAGTTAGCAAAAGCCTTGAATACACTCCTGCAACGATTATTTTTAGACTCCTGCATGTGACTACTTCCAGATTATTTCATTTATTGCTTAAACTCATCTTGTTCTTATATTAGAAATGTCGTGAAAAAAAAAATGAACATCTTCTGTCCTGATGTCTTCTATAATCTGTTTCTAATTCCTGTCATCTGTTCTTGTAAAAAAAAGTAATTATGTATATGATCAACAGGATATGGAAATCTACTTTGGGTCATATCCTATGTCTGAGTTTTTTAGTACTTCCAGTTGTAGTATTCATTGAGCTCCTTAGCTCTGTTTTCAGGGTCACCATTTTATGCTAGGGCTTATCTTTCAAATTTTAACCTTTCCAACTGCTAATGGCCAAAGAAAAGTAACAAACATATTTGCTAAATGTCGAGTTCTTTAACAAATTTATATTCTTGGGAAAGATCAGAAAGACTTTATCTACTTCAGCAACTGCAGTAATAATGGAGACTGGCCCTTTTTAGGGAGAAAGTATGTGCTTCTAAATGGTGAAAGTATGTGCTTCTAATTGGTGTATGGCAACATTTCATGGTACATAGAAAGGAGACCTAGGAAATTTGAGCAAAGAAGAAATCAGATTGTAATGTGTGTCTTGGAAATGTCCATAAGCTGAAAAAGCACCTCCTTTTTCAAGTATCATAAAGCCATTTATAAACACAGTCAGAGCTGGAGGGGTGACAGATCTCTTTTTGCCAGATTTGGAATCCAGTTGAACAGTGTGGGTTCTGAATTTAGCATATAGCTCAAAATAAGTTTTGAGGATAGAAAATCTCCTGGCTCTGGTTTAATTTCTAAGCCACTGCATGCTTACTCTCAAGCTCCTTCTGGAAGCAATACAAGAATAACTTTTAAACAAGAGTTACTTGTCTAGCACAGGCTCCCTCTTTTAAGACACTTCTGAAATGTTCTTATAAGGCATTTAAAGAACAAATATTTTGTAAAGTTCAAAAAGCTTTATGTAACCCAAGACGTGAAACAGAACAACCCAGATATTACCATCCTTAAGGAAAATATGTTCTGTTTCATGTGAATTATGTCATTTCCTCTGTAGTGTCCTCCTGTACATGCTTAATTGCCAAGTTCTGTGTCAACAGCTGTAAAAAAGCACAACTGTCCAGTAGGTGTATGTGTATTTACCCTTCTTATTTTGTTTGGAAATTTCCATCTGGCTATTTAAATACTCAAAGGAGTCTGCACATTGATACAGGATATTTCTGAACTCACAGTGGGTATTACTGTGAAGTTTTATGGTAACATTCAGATTTGAATGTTGCAAACTCCACACTTTAAAAAGGTTCAGTCCTTTTAGCTTCCTTCTGGGGGTATTCTCAGCCATCTCCATGAATATTTTTGCCTTGCTGGTTAGCCTGTATTTGTATCCAAGGGGACTTAGCTCACTGACCATCTAAAATCTCACACCTGCTAACCCTCATTGTGTTATCCTTGTCTGGATGTACCTAAAAATCACAGCTTGGGGTTGTGCATAGCAAAGATTATCATAGTTCTTGCTCCAGATTAATTCTTGCTCTTCGTAAAGAATTATCACTTGTACACCTTTAGTCAGACTTTACTTGACTGCTTCCTTCAACATTTGTCTCACCATAACATCTATGGCACAACATGCTCTTAAGGAGTTATATTTCTCAGTCACAAATCCTCATTAAAGACAAGGATGGGAGTGAAGGAGAGAGGAAAGGCAGTAGTAACTTATGGAAGCCATTGACCATGTAAGTTGCTTTACCTGTCTGAAGAGCTTGCATTTCTTTCAAAGCATTTACTTCCCGCCACAATTTGTCAATCTGGGTCTTTAGGTCATCTTTTTCTTAAATAAAAGAAATAAAGAGAAATGAACAGATATGTACACAGAGAATATAAAAAAAAAATGTGTGTTAAAAGCTGTTTCATAATATCACAATATTTTTGCATTGCTGAGATATGTTTTGATTTCTGTTAAAGGTTTCTTGTTAATGAAATTATTCTTGTAGGGTTCCTATCAAAAAACAGGAGGACCTCACATTCATGTTTTACCCTCATAATTTAAATCTCATTTTCAGCTGAACTTTACCCTTGTACCTGTTTGAAAACCATGGATTTTTGCAGCTAATTGTTATTTAGCATGCCAATATGTAATTTACGGTAAAATTTGCCTATTTAAATTTGAACCTGTACCCCATGGCGTATATATATGACACAAATCATAGCAGGACACAAGTTGTCTTTATTCAAAGAAATGTTATTCTGAAAGGATGGAAGTTTCACACAACTCTTGTTTCAACACAGTGAACGGCTAATATAACCAAATTTCACAGTCCGAATGTATGCAGACAAGCTTGCTGAGCTGCAATTTCTCCTTCCCAGGAGGAGCCTTTCTCTCTCCATGAGTACAGAGAGGGCTTGGTGACTTAAGCCACACAAATGTAGTCTGAATCACCATTTTGTAGCACTTACAAAAGCATCAGGAAGATGGGGAGACAAGAAAAGAAGCTAATTTGCACATAACTCTATTTTCATGTCATCTTTTCCATTCTTTTTTCTTAATCATTATAATTTTCTACCACCATCAAACAACTAGCAGGCATGTTCCCGTTGCACAAGATGACAATTTGATTGCAGCAGTAACCAGACCTTTCAGAAGCCACAGTAATGAACATGAGGAATAAATAAGCTCTTTCACACATAGCAGAACTAACAAAACCACAGCTCCTACAGATCTGTGTTACATCATCTAACCCTCCAGCTGCACCCCAGAAAGCTCATATCCATATTCCCTACTGCCTTTGGGGATAACCCCAGCTGTCCTTCATGATTCCTTGGTTCCCCAAGGCAGGACTCCCAGTTCCTCAGCCCATGATACTCTCTACAAGTCCCAGTTCACTAGAGCCCTTCCATGTTCTTCTGTTTGAAAAGAGGCAAAACCAGAACAAGGTGAGCTCCTGGTGCAAAGGTTTCACAGTGGGACACTAATGCAGCCCTCTTCTCACCCCCCCCCCCAAAATACTGGGAAACTTATCCTCGGGATCTCCATTCTTTTGTCAAATTGCTTCCAGATCAAAACTTCTTAGTGGAAGGTTAAATGTGCTGGCAAAACAAATGTATAAACAGCCTGTCCTTAGGACACCAAACTTAAAAGCATAGAGATTCAACAGGAGAGGTGTATGAAACTGTATAGATCCAGAGCTCTGTAATCATGTTGTACATTGTACAATGGCTTTATCAAAGCTGTGGGTTTTTTCATTGAGTAGGAGCTTAAATATTTGCCATTGGTGTAACCTCCATCATACCCACTTTTATTAGAAATAAGTCTTTAAATTAAATACACAGACAGTTTCAAACAACATTCAGCGGTATTGTATTTGCTCTGTAAGCTTTGCTTTGGGAATTTATGCTTTATTGTTTTCTGCTAATTCTTTTTCATTAGTTTGACTTGCCATTTCACAGTACTTTTCACACAGGTAAAGATATATTCCACAAATATTAGAGACACATTCTGTTAAAATTAGGCAAGGGTACAAAAATCTGAACAATAACTGGAGACTGAATATTTTATTCTGTTCTTTTCTACCATATGTATATGAATTTCCATTCTTCTGATCTTAGTCTCTATAACTACGTAACTAAAAATGATCATCCAGAGTCCTCTCTAAGCTGTACCTGCGAGTCCTAAATAATGTTGACAGGGATGAATAGGCATAACAGAGCATGATACTTACAACTGTTATACAGCTCAATTTCCATAACTCTTTCTTGAACCCTATTTTTGGCTTTGCTAACTCATAGAAAAATATTTTAAGACTGATATAAGATAGACTCAAATGTCCTTTGCTGATAAGCGTTTGTATAACATTAGTTTCTGGTTCATGCAATGTTATTGAAGTATATAGTAAAGTTGTACAGGCTGTAAGCTTCTATCCCTCCTCCCAGTTAAAACCCAGTACCTTTCACTCTACGTTTGCTGTGCTTCCTGGCTTTGAATTTGGAAGCTTGGCTGATAGTCTGATCCAGCAGCAGTATGCTTATGAGTAGAAAAATCCTAAGTCCAGTTTGTGCCATGTCTCTTTCAAAGAACTTAACAAGAAGCTTCCAGAGCTTCTCTTCAGCAGCTATGAGAGAAAATCACATAGACCCATCTCAGTAGGGACTGACTGAGGTCAGCTTTATAAAAGTGTGGTGATAGGGTTGGCTGTACTCCTTGCTTACGAAATGTGTTTAACACTTAAACTGGCTGTAGCATAAGGCACTCCCTTGTTCTCACATCTCATCTGAAATTCCTAATTCCATTTTGAGTTCAGCTGGGACAGGTTGCTTCTACAGAGGCTGTACCAGCACTGAACAGTGCACTGATTGCCACTAATAAGCACCCTATCTCCTGTTTTAACTTTGAAGCTAAAATGCATGGAAAACAGCCTGCACCTTGTGCAATGCCAGCCTCAAGGAAGGGTAGACAACGTCTACAAATGTAACATGGTCCCAGGCTGGTTAAGACATGACAATGATCATGATCTTATTTCCACCAAAACGAAAAAAGAACACTGAGCCCTGAGTAAATACAAACACTGCAGCTACACACACACAGAGTATATATACATTAAGATCACATTATGTGAGGAGTGCACTTGTTATTTCATGAAGAGTTAATAAGTGTCTAGTAGATATGACTGCATTTCTGATTAAGAACAGTATGTGTTCTAAGCTGGGGGAAAAAAAGACAGTGGTACTCTTCCAAAGGTTTCCACGTCCTGACTGTATGGTCAGAGGAAGAGTAAAGCCCAAGATGCTTGAAGCAGGACAGTGTCTCTGTGGACTTTGGAAGGCTCTCTGCATTTGGATCTCTTTTATTTGCTGTTGGGCTTTGAGTTTTGGGGGGCTGCTTTTTAACTGGGATTGCTGTAAGTAATAGAACCTCTCACTGACTTTGCTGGAGAAGTTGTCACAGTAATGTGTCTATCTATCACGCTCTTTCTTAAACTTGTTGAACTAAAGCCGTTACTGGGTGATGGGATGCTGGCAGGTGCAGTTACTGCCCTGCAGGGCTGTCGTTCCAGACATCTCTTTGCCACCTCTGCCTTGGTTACATTCTGCTCATATTGCCAGTTTATTTTTTTCATAACTGTAAGTGCAAGAAACTTATGACTTTATTAAATGAAAGCTGAGATTTAAAAGCATGCTATTATACTACATAAGTGCATACTGGCTTTTTCCAATCCCCATGTACAGTCTAAAAGCACTTCATACTTATAATGTAAACCACACCTCCAACATCTGTTTTAGATGCCTTCAAACAGCTAGCTGTATTCTAATAATGTGTTACTAGGAAGCATCTTTTAATCATTAATAAAATTTTCATAAATGCATCCTGATATGATAAAACTTAGTTTCAGTGGTCCTGCTTCAAAATATTGAAGTATGTTACACAGTGTGGGGAAACCTTTGGATCAGCACTGCTATGTCCTCAGTGCTATTATGGAGCATCGCACACCAGAGATGGCTCTTACAGGGCCCCACTTGTTCAGAACTGTCTGAAAAATCCCTCACACAGCTTCACGTTTCAGTGAAGTTAAATGTGGAAAGGGCTGTCATTCCAACCAGCACACCAGAAACTGAAATGTGAGCTGTTAGAGAGGAAAACAGGGAGCTTTGCAAGGGTCTAGTTCAAGATTTAATCTGTCATTTAGAACTAACCCTGGGTTCAGGGTTGATCCATATTTTATCCCAGTGATGTTGGGGCATCAATATAAGTTAATTAAGGGCAGACAGCTGAATCAATAACTGCCTCCAGTTAGTTTTTCACTTGGTGCCTTCTCAGAAGTTCTGGAATTGCACATGAAGCTGATCCTTAACCACTGCAGTTTGTAGCCTGACATATTAAACTGGTGCTAGTTTGGGGTTACCTTGATAAAGGAGCTGTAAACCCCTGGAGCTGTTTTATGTGGAGCTAAGCTGTCTCACAGGCTTTGAGAGAGGCAGGACCAATAGCTGGGGTCAGCAAGCACTTTAGCCTGTGTGTTTAATGACTCAGTAACAGAATGTGCTTATTCCTGCACCTAGGAACTTGAGTTTTCTAACACAAGCTTTCTTTTCTTTTTTCTTTTCTTTTCTTTTCTTTTCTTTTCTTTTCTTTTCTTTTCTTTTCTTTTCTTTTCTTTTCTTTTCTTTTCTTTTCTTTTCTTTTCTTTTCTTTTCTTTTCTTTTCTTTTCTTTTCTTTTCTTTTCTTTTCTCTTTTCTTTTCTTTTCTTTTCTTCTTTCTCTGAAATGAGTCTGACAGAAAAAGATTTGTACTCTACTGAGGCAAGCACACAAATCACTAGAAATGGGGGTATAAAGAAGATACAGATTTGGTATTCTGAGAGTCCTTGGCCAGGTGCCTGAGTGAAAACCTGTGCTTTTTTTGAATATGTTATGTCATGTCCTTTTAAAAACAGACTGAAACCCTGTTTTGAAAGCTTCATCCCTCTGGTTCAGTAGTCTCTCTGACTGCTTTACCATTCTGCAAGTAGCTCAGCTGGACTTAGCTCCTAAAACCTGAATTACCAGGCTGTCTTTGCACAGGGGTATATAGGGGCTCATTTGTCTAGGATTTGTGTAAAGTACCTGAGAAATAGATTTCACACTTATGACTAATCTATAGAAAATGAGGAAACAAGTTGACCTTCTTGTACACAGTAAATGGGCAGGAGAGAAAGAGAAAAGTCAAAAGATGTTGCTGAGATGATGTAAATTCCCACTGCTACTGTGAGGAAGCAGGAAATGGAGCCACATAGGAGGCCTAGAGCCTCATTGAAGTAGTACCTCGTGCATGTATGGTCTTGAAACCAGCATTACAATGTAATTTACAGTTGTAATTTTTCTTTTACTAGCATAGTTATAGTAATATAATACAGCCCAGAGAGTGAACGCAGTTATGTATGTATAGAAGTAATATTTCCTGGGACAAGTTATTCCTCTTTCCATAACAGAATGTGCTATACAAATATAAATAGCCCCATAGCTTTATAAAGCTGAGCCAGACTAGGATGAGATTGCATTTTTTTAATTTACACCCGTATGGTAGAAATTCTCCATACAGATGAAATCGTAGTCTCTCTTGAAATGCTTAGTTCTCTTCAAAGCAGTCTTGAAGTACTCTCTTTGATAGGAAACATCTTGCAAAAGACGCAGATGCTGTACTACACAAGCACCTGAGGTTTTGGCTCCTGTCTCCCCAGCTCATTCTGTTCACTTTCAGACAACTAAACCATTCAGAGCTTAAGCATCCTTTGGTAAAAGGTTTATTTCAGTTTCTCCACAGAGGTTCTTCAAGGTAAAAAGTCTATTCCCCTCAGAGACAGTTATACCTTTATATGCTTCAGCAAACTGGCTCAGAAAAACTCTTCATACAGCTGTTTTTTCCTCTCCATTCTCAGCCATCACTAGGTCTGTGGAAAGAACATGCAATTGGGCAAGAATATGAGAAGTTGGTGTGAGATGAGGACTGGATGCTGGGCTAGGGTCCTGAAAAAGGTCTGGCTACAGCAGCCGTTTCCTGTTGTGTGAAGTAAGATTCTATGTATGGGTATCATGGTCCTTTACTTATGTCCTGAGGCAGTAGAACTACAATTAAAACACTACTCATAAAACATAACTTTAAAGAAAATTCATGCTACAAGATGTTGAAAAATGAAGTGCTCACATATTGCTGGTAGACTGGCTTTATTTTACTGAGATCTACAGTCCCCTCCGTGCTTCACAGCTAATTGTGTTGTGGCATGTTTGCAAAATTGATGGGCTGTATCTGTTGAAATCATAGCAAAATTTCTGTTTGTTTTTTTCAGCATTTCAGGTGCAAAAAATTCAGCTCAGCATAGGATTTGGGGAGTGGGTAAGAAGCTTGTATGGTGGCAATTATTTGCCCCTTCTACTCAGAGTGTGAAGGGAAACTGAAAACTGATCAGGGATGTTGCCAGGCTAAGGAATTTCAAGTGGGGCAATCCAAAGAGCCAGTATAGACAACAAAAATAGATAACACAAAAATCAGTGAAAGGTTTATCACCTCCCATGGCAGTTTATGTTTGTCTCAGTGGTAAATGGGATCCACTGGTTGATTTTCATTTGTTTCAATTTAATGTAACAAATATTTCAAATTCTGCTAGTCATGGATTGTGTCGTGCTTGGAAAATTACCGTATACTTGGTTCCTTTGGCCTTGCAAACTCTTTCTTAAGGATTTGATCTCCATCCAACCAGGAATGAGGCAGGATTATGGTTGACATCCCAAACCCAAAGTTATTTTCAGGAGATCTGTACAGACACACTGTGCAATTAGAAAAGGGAAGAGATAACCTTATGGTATGTGAAGTTTTGTGAAACTTACTAATGATATTTTGGACTTTTGCAATCAGTTCAAGTTTTTTCCTGTCACACTAATTTGCTGTTTTGAAAGGAAATGTTCTGGCTACAAGTGATCTGCTCTTTCTGTTAGAATTAAATGAGGTTTCAGGCTTATTGCAAAGCCAGGACGCCCACTAATGACCTGCACTGAATGACAAGAAGTGTTCAGATGAGGACATTCATGTCTATTTTAGCCATGTGATGCTGCTATCATCATGCCTTACTTTGGCACTGTGACACTGCTAAGGGGATCAATATATAGGCTTCTCGATGTGGTATTTTCTAGTTCCAAAGCTAGCTCTTCCTACTTACAGGTCTGCTGCTTTTCACTTTCCTATGCTGCAAATAAAAGCTTCAAAAAATTAAGACACTTGAGATGTAAATAATGTGTGTGTACTGAAAAGATGAATCAGGGCAGCATTTTGAGCTTCCTGAATGAGTGCATTTTGTATCTCTTATTTAGGGTCTTTGTCACACAACATCTCACAGCTGGGTCTTTGCAAGCAGAGAGGAGAGTAAACAACTTGCAAGAGGCAGCAGAAAGACTTGTCTTCTATCTGCTGTTCATATTTAAGGTAAATATCATTATCTTGTCAATGTGACCAAACTATCTCACCTGCACTCCTTTCATTCTCTTGTAATGCTGTGAATATAGTTGATAGGTTGTAAAGCTGAGAAAATACTAATTATCAAAGTCAGAACAGGTTCAGAATCCAGAAGAGATTCACCAAATATAAGAAGTAATGTTATCAAGGCCGTTGCACTCTCTTCATGGTTACCTATCCCATGCTACTCTTCACTGATAACAGTTGCTTTCTTACAGTGTTCAGATATCAACAAGGGATGGCAGTTGCCAAATCCTTTTTATTCATGCCTTTAGATGCAAAAATAAGTAGGTGCTGAGTGTTTTGATAGCTGTCATTGCCTATTTCTTTAGGCAAAAAGGACCCCAAAGAAATGGCTGATTGTTTAGAGATGAATGTTTTGATGGCTATGTAAAATGTGCAAAGAGAGCAAACAGTAATCCCCCTCAAAACAGAGACTTTTTTCAGAGTGACTGATTCTGTGTCATCTCTAATGATAAGGGACTTCAGGAGAAAAATCTAAAGCCAAGAAACTGCAAAGTTTCTGTGCAGTCTGGATGAAAATAGAGTTGAATGGGGTCTTTTAAAAGGCTACTCCTGGGGACTTGGCAAACATTCCATGTTGGGAATTACTGGCAGCAGCTCAGCGTGTTTAGCCCTTTGGGATGTGTGTGAGAATGTGTTTCTCTTTCTCTTTTGCAAACACAAATTACCTGTTGTGTTAATTTTTCTCCTGTAATGTGCCTTTTTTCCTCCCTGGAAATGATCTGAAAACATCCTGAGAATTTATTTTCTCCCTTTAAATATTTTATTTTTGATCATCACAGTTTCCCTAAAATGAGGTTTTCCAGCTTCACATTAGCATGAACTTAATAGGTTCTGCTCATCTTTATGTGTGTCACACAAAACAATTTAGACAAAGCCTTGGTTTAGCTCTCCAGACAGCCTGAATTAGACATTCACAGGTTCATAGCAGGTTACCAACAGAGCTGCTTTGCACACTGCCAGTAGGGCCAGTCAGAGTGAGGATTATGTTTTGGCTTGTGTAGATGTTTGTAGGATTTTCCTATACCGGATGGAAAATCAAACCTTCTCAGGAGTGTGCTCATGTCTCTCTTTGGTGTCTGCTTCACTTGAAGGCTCTGCTCAAGGGCTGAAGCCAACTGCTTTGACAATCCAGGAACTCGAGCTCCCACCTCATGTGGGGCCATATGACTTTTGAGGTCCCTAAATCCTATACCACAGCCCTTCTACAGAGGTGCTCTCAGAGGCAGTCCCTGTGCTGCTGCTCCCACCCAGCCAGTGTGGCTGCCCATTGACAAGGAGATGCTTCAGCTGGGGGCTGCCAGCCTGGCTCAAGGCAAGAAGCCAAACCACAGCTCTGCAGTTCAAGGCTGTCACAGGATCTGTAAACAGCTGACCCTGCTTTACTGTGTCTTAGAAGCAGCACGACCCCATGCACAGGCATAATCAACTCATGCACC